ATCAAACAGGTACATAATTATTAAAAATAATAAATAGTTAATAACTTTATTTAATGGATTTAATAATGTTTTTTTTTTTGATTTTGAATTTTTTTTTTCATTTACATTTCTACAATTTTTAAGGTGATGGCAGGACAGCTTTAAATGATAAATATGGATACTAATCATTATGAGAATGAAAATGTACTCTGCGATTTATATTTGCTGTAATAATAGTAGTGGTAATGATAATAAGACCTGTTGTCATTGAATATAAAAAAAATTTATAATTGAAGGTTGTCTCAGTTATTACACTGGCAAATGTTTTTGATCGAGTAATAATATATATCAAGGAATATATAATATTTTAAGGCTTAAAAACAATCATGTATACTATATCCAGTAATAAAAATAAAGGTAATATAACATACAATAAGGAACGACGTCTGATAAATTTGAAGCTCTAGTAAAAAAATGACACTTATTATAAATTGTTGATTGAAAATATAAGAAAAATAAAAAAAAATAAAAAAAAAAAGAAGAAAATAAAAACTCAAATAAAAGTTCACTCGACAATAATAACTGCATAAAAGACAAGTCCCGATTATTTCCAAAGTGTTCTTTAACATGAGCAGTTATTAGATGATGTTGGACTTGTCAAATCGACTCCTCTTTGTTTCGAACTAGAACCTCGCCCACGTGAATTAGCGGCTAATTGTTCAAGTGGCATTTTCTTCGCTATAAAGGTAAACAAGGAATAAAAAAAGTTAGAGATAAAATCTAATTAATAAAGATTTAATAATCATACCTATTGATGTAAATAATTCATTGACATTAACAGCTGTCTTTGCAGATGTCTCAAAAAACAAAAGACCAGTATCTGTCGCATAAGCCTGAGCCTCCTTTGAAAAGTAAAAAATGATTAGTAAAACAATAATTAAAAATATATTATGAAGTTATATATATTAAGCTACCTCAGAGTCGATTGCCCGGCGAGCACTCAAATCACTTTTATTACCAGCAAGTGCAATGACAATATTCGGATCAGCTTGTCTTTGCAATTCTTTTACCCATGATTTCGCTTTATCCAGAGAAGACTGAAAATAATATGTAATACGGATGAATCGCAAATATTATTATTAAATATATGAATATAGTAGAAATTATATAATGATACTTACAGCTTGAGTTATATCATATACAACCACTGCACAATTTGCATTTCTGTAATACATTGGTGCCAAACTCTATAACGCGTATTGTGAATATTTCTAGTTAAATTATCTATATTATAATACTTAATACACGTAAAAAAACACGAAATCCAATTTCTCCAAAATTGTCACCTTATAACGTTCTTGACCTGCCGTATCCCTAGAAGGAAGTTCAATACGTGTAAATATTAGCATTTGCAACAAATTACATTAGCATATCATACAAATACAAATATTATTACCAGATCTCAAATTTTACTGTTGTATTATCATCTAAACTAATTGTCTGCGTAAGAAACGCAGCTTTTGGTACGAATAAAATAAGACAATATATAAAAATTTTTTTTAAAAAAATAAAGAACATATCATTATAAGCCTTACCTCCAATAGTACTTTCCCTGTAGTCATCGAATTGGTCTTTGACAAAACGCAATACCAAGCTAATAACAAAAAAAACAAAAATGATTAATAATATTAACTTTGTATTGTCCGATTATATCTTAGCCTGAAATGTTATATCGTCCAAATCTCCCATAAAGTGTCTGGATATAAAGGGTTTAAGTTATAAAACTGAGTGGAAAAGGAAAATGAATTCTATCGTGTTGAAGTTCGTTCAACAAAAATACAACCCTAACCCGAATACCTTTAATATAAAAACCAACCTTGATTTACCGACTGCTGATTCGCCTACAGAGTTATGGAACAAACACAGACAGTAAAGTAGAAAAATGAAGTATGTCAAAATAGCCCAAAAGTTTTTAAAAAGACAAAACAATAAGCTTAGTAAGGATTCAGTCTTTAGACATCAAAATTGGTCTACGATCGCAAGCTGCTATGTCTGCCAAATATTTGCCATACCTAATAAAACAAGCTTGAATTGGTACAATTTGCCAGAAGCATGAGCATTTTGTCTGTTATTTGTAGTCGACATCGCAAATTATTTGAAAATTATTTAGACACGAGTTATATAAGGAATAAATAGTATAGTATAAAAAAAGCGAATGTACATCATTATGGTGGTTTTACAATGTAGATTATATTGAATAATAGAATATATTTAATTATATTAGTTTAGTTTAAATCGGCGGGAGTCGGCATCAATACATGTGCGCTAAAACGTTACAAATTCTTCCTATCTCGTCACTGTCATTTCATCTTCTTTCATCTGAAAAAAAACATAAATGCCTTTGGGGCTAGAACGCCGCAAAGAATTTTTATATTTTTTTTTGTTTTGCTCGATCTAAAAATCCATAAAAAAAAAAAAAAAAAAAAAAATTATCTATCATATTTATTCAAATATAAATAAATAATAATAGTTCGAGCATACTCCTCACATATAGAAGCTAACCCTCCTACAAAATCGCAAACAGACATCAGCCTACTTTTAGTAAAATATAATTTTACTCAAATAATTTATTCGTTACTTTCATAATGTCGTCTTCTATATCACCTTTTTACCGTCCTGGAGTTTTTCCTGCACTTTCCAACCGTCTCCTTTCTAGCGCTTCTCAATCTCTTCGTCTTGCTATTAACCAACAAATTTATATAAAGACTGTTTATAGTAATCCTTTACGAGTTACTGGTTTACCCTTAACCACTACAAAAGGTTTCACTTATTTGATAGCAGCGTCTTGGCATCCCAAAAGAAAACGACAGACTGTAAATTCTATATCTGGTGGTGGCCACCCATGGTGGAAGGAACGTATGAGAGCAGGTAAAGTAGATGCAGGAGAGGACGCTTTTTTCTATGTTGGAACAAACAACGGTGTAGCCTTAGGAGTAGCTGACGGTGTTGGTGGATGGTCTCAGGTATGACATTATACTTGTCTCAAATGTTTAATATTTTTTTTTCTTTTTTTTATTGATTTTTATATAAATCCAATCACAAATATTAAGATGGGCGTAGATCCAGCCAATTTCTCTTGGGCATTAATGGATAATGCTGCAAGTGTAGCAAAAGATAATGCACCTGATCTATCCCCTTTTATTGCTCCGTCTGGTTATAATGATATATTAGATGCTAAGCAGATACTAAGCGGAGCGTTCGAAAACTTGATCAAGAGCGGAAAAGTCAAAGCAGGTAATTTGATTATTATTTAAATTTAATAATTTAAGTCTGAATTTAAATATACATTTATTCTCTTAATTCTTTAGGAAGTTCGACGGCCTGTATTCTTTCGTTGTCCAAATCTTCAGGAATTCTCAATGCAGCTACTTTGGGCGATTCAGCTTATATTCTAATTCGTAATGGTGCACTACTATACGAATCTCCATCACAGCAACATTTTTTTAATTGTCCATTTCAATTAACCATTGTACCTGAATCTTATCCTAATCAAAAACTCTATTTTAAAGACAAGCCAAGCGACGCTCAACAAACTAGCCATCAGCTTCAGGATGGTGATGTTATTCTGCTTGCTACCGATGGCTTTTTTGACAATGTGTTTGCTGATGAAGCTGTTGAAATTGTAAATAGAGAGCTTCATGATGTTATGGGTCATGATGGTATGGTTCGTGAAAAGGACCTTGAAAAGCTTCGAACTCATGTCAGAAGACTTTCAAGAAGATTGACAGATACAGCGAGGCGATTTTCTTTAGATTCAAGAAGAATTAGTCCCTTTTCACAAAGTGCAAAACAAAATGGAGAAGTTAGAATTGGAGGGTAAGACTTTGTTTTTTTTTGGTTGGCATATTTTGTAGGTTTCTTTTTTTTTGTAGGTTTGTTGGTTTAGCGATCAATATTTCCTGGAGGTGCCTCAAGAAGCTACAATTTACCAGCAAAATCAAAACGTCTCCTCTTTTGTTTGTTACTTCTGAATTCAAGCAAGAAGTTGGAATTTACGAGTTTGAATTTTTTATGTTATGGTAAATTGCATACGTAGGTTTGTATAAAATGTGAAGTTTGTTATTTGTTCATCGCAGCTTCTCGAGGCATCTTTAGGGACTTTTGCTAGCCAATTAATGCTTATTGTATATTGGAATCTTCTGTAATATTCTTTTGAATTGAAAAGATTCCATTTACAATAATGAATTTGTGTTTAAAGTAGATATCTTAATATTATCAAATTCTAATCTATTTCTTTTTATTTTTCAACTTAATAGTAAAGTAGATGACATTACTGTACTAGTGACATTAGTACACGCAAATTCATGATCGTTGTCCTATCAAAGTGTAGGAAAAAAAACAGAAATCACAATTTAATACCTCTTAATGCATTAAAAAAAGCAATCAATGTATAAGAAACAAAAGTACTATACTCATCCCCTTAAATATAATATGTTTTATGAGAAACATAAAAAAAAATTCAATTAGTATTTGTATTTATTACACAAATATATATTAAAAAAGTTTATATATATCAAAGACATTTTTTTTTCTTTTTCATCATTATACTTTTTTTTTAAGATAGCTCAAATTAATATTTAAGCTGCAACATTAAAAATTCATGCATAAAAAAGAGTTATTATGTAATGTATTTATTGACTGTTTTATGAATAAATGAATAAATGTATTTAATATTGAATATATATATAATTATGTAATGGAAATGTTTCTAATATTTTGAGTTGCATAAAACCACGATCAATTATTTTGCCCCAGAATCATTGGTGTTTCACACATAAAAAATTATTCTTGCAAGAATAATAGTCTCGGGTAATTTACCCGTGCTAATACAGAATTAGTAATTCAAATTGCAAAAATTAAACCCGGCAGTCCGGCACCTGAGCCAATATACAGTATATGATCATTCGGAAAAATCAAAATGCAATAGATTAAAATTTAAGAAAAAATACGACTAATTGACTTGCTGACGGTGGGGTTTGAACCCACGCATGCTTTCGCATACCAGATCTTAAGTCTGGCTCCTTGGACCACTCGGACACGTCAGCTTGTTAACGGATAGATTATAAAAGTATTTTTATTTGAATAAATTTTTTACGAGAAATTTGATTGGACAATTCATATCACAGAATCACCAAACAAACGGCTTACAGTCTAATAAGTGTTGGGGAAGGACCCGCAGAAATTAGCAAGTTTTTGAAGAATTTTTTTTGACTTCTTAGCTTAAGTACATTATCTGTGGTATTCATCCATCCGGCTTTCAGATACCGTACTTTTGCTGCTTAAATTATCAATATTTTAGTTTCTCAAGAACTCACCCTTGTGAACTTGAGATATAACTTTACACTCTTAATCATGTTTCTTGACGATACATCTTCAAAAGCTTTAAAGAAATATCTTAGCCACCACTTGGAACCAATGTATGCCTGATCTACTTTGTTATTATTAATGTTTCATTTCAAAGATTTTATAAAAAGATCAACTTTGTTCATAACTTATTTTTCTTTTTATTTTATTAATAAAGTTGCGACGCAGATCCCAAAGTTTTAGCAGACTATGTTATTGCACTTTTGAAGCACGACAAACCTGATCAGGACCTAAAACAACTATGTATAGACCAACTTGACGACTTTTTAAGAGGAGGTTTGTTAACACCATTACCAATTCTTATTATTTCAAACGCAGTAGCCTGGCTGCGCCAGTATTTTTGTGTTGTGCAGTCGAATTTGTTATTTTTTTTTTTTCTTGATCTCATTTTCATTTTATTCATTGGTATTTATTTACTTCCTTAAATTATTTGACAATATATTGACGAAATTTATTATTTTAATTGATAGAAACCGGACCTTTTGTTGACAAATTATTTGATGCTTTAGGTTCACAAGAATATCTCGGTGATGCATTAAACGTAATCCAATCACAACAGGAACCAATTATAAATGCAAGCGCATCATCAACTAATTCAATTGAAGGTAAGCAAACAAAATCCCAAGAGTTGACACCAGAAAAAGTCGATAGTCAACCTTCAAAGATTGGAGTCCGGAAAAGAGAAGATAGCGAAGCGTCAGATGATGATGACGACAGAAATTATAAGCACAGAGAGAGAAGTGGCGAGATTCGGGATGATTATCGTCGTTATGCTGATAGATCCTCTAACTTCACGAACCGAGAGGACGATAGGGATTCAAAAAATAAGAGATTTCGTAGTAGCGAAGGTATTCCCACTGGTCCTGCATCAGGAGGATCTCAGTATAATAATAATTTTCAAGATGACAGATCTTTCAAAAGGCGACGTGATGAAACTGAAGAGGAATTTCGTTCAAATAAAATTCCTCGCAATAATTCATTAGGAACTAGCCAACCTATATCTGGTAGTGGAAATGGTTACGTTTCTAATAATGGAATGGGAGGAAGTGTTCGACGTTCTGATTTTGAAAGAGAAAATCGTTTAAACAGAAATTTCCCTTCTATATCGTCTGGTTCTCCAGGTTCAAGTATAAGTTCTGGTCGATGGGGTAGTGAGTGGGGTAATAATGGAATGAATGCTCCAGTTAATGATCGTTTTGACGATAGGAGAATTAGAGGTGGGAGGTTAAACGAACGTGGAAGTGGTAGAAGTGGTCCCATGGTTGTGAACCGTGGTTCAGGATATTCTGATATTAGGCCTGGAAGACGTCAACGTTGTCGTGATTATGATGGTGAGTATTTAGAATTTTTTTTTTTTTTTTTTTGATTTGTATTTAAACTAATTTACTTATTTACTTTACAAATAATAGAAAAAGGATATTGTATGCGTGGTGATCTTTGTCCCTTCGACCATGGTGTAGATAGAATTGTTGTTGACGATGTTCCATTGAATAGACCATTTGACATTATACCTCCAATGGCTGGTACTCCATTAACAGGACCAGTTGGTATAATGAGTGCTGGTGTTCCTTCGAGGCCACCATATTTTATGAGTACTTCTGGTGTTCGAAATCAGTATGATCTTGATCCGGGATATTGTAAATATAACTTATTTATTGATTTTTTGATTCATGATTTCATTTTTAATAATCTTTCCTAAAAAAAAAAACAATTTAGCTGGTCAAACATCAAGATCAATGACCCCAACAGCAGATGCTTATGATCCGGAACGTGCTACATTATCGCGTCCTGAAGAATTAATTTCAGTGATTGAACCAAAAGAAAATGAAATAACACAGCCATCTCCCGAAACCGTTGTAACTGAATCAACTCTCACATTAACGTCTGTACCCAGCGTTCCACAATTCTTAGATTCAAGCGTCGGAACCTCTTCTACTAGAGGTACCGCATTTAGAGGACGCGGTCGTTCTCGCGGAGGTCGTGGTGGATTTAATACTACTAATAGATATGGTGCTAGTGCAAATAAAAATGCGACATTGGTTGTTGAGAATATACCGAAAGAATTTTGTAATCTTGACAAAGTGAACGAATTTTTTAAAAAATTCGGTACAATTACAAATATCAATATTGATATTAATTATCAAAAAGCTATTATTCAGTTCAGTAATAGTACTGAAGCTTATAAAGCTTATAATTCTCCGGAACCAATTTTTGATTATCGATTTGTCAAAGTATATTGGCATAAGGAGAAAGAAGAGCCACAAACTTCAACATCCACAGTACCAAAAGTACCTACTTCACCCGTAAAATCAGAACATCCTACTATTATTCAAACAGATGTTTCACCTACAGTTAGTGCAGCTGAAAAGAAAGAAGCCGAAGAAAAAGTTAAAAAACAAAAAGAAAGTCTCAAGGCAATGCTAGAGATTCAAAAACAAAGAGAGCAATTAATCAACAGGCAGATCGAAGAACAAAAGAAATTGATGGAACTTGCTAAAAAGAAAAATGTAAACTCTAAAAATCGTGAAGAAGTTCTTAAAAGTTTAAGCAAAGTTTCAGAAGATATTAAGAAAGATACAAATGTGGCAGTTCGAAAACCTTCTTTAGCTGGAAACATTTATCCAAAAAGTCTATTGGAAGAAAAAGAAAGGGAACAGTTGGATAGAGAGCTCGATATTCTGAGCAAAATACATGAAAATAGTGCTGCGAATGAGCCATTAACTGCGACAGCATCATCCAACATTAACACACAAGCAAGTACTGAAAACACTAATCTCGAGGTAAGAGTACTCACATGGAGTTGTTTATTTATTATATTAGGATTTGTTAATATAATAGCGTTGTACCTACTTAGACGACATCGACTACTAGCTTAAATAGCTTTGCCGAATCTGCTATGTATCGTGGACGTGGACGTGCTGTCTTTTATCGTGGTAGAGCTCGTGGACTTTGGCCTCGAACTCGCGGTGGGGGTGTTATGCGTTCCTACAAACTTGATAATCGCACAACAAAACTTTTATTAAAAGAGATCCCGACGGGATCTATTGATAATCTTCGAAATTACTTTCAAGTTAGTTGCTCTTTTAATTTAGTTTTAAATTTTTTTAAATTACAATTTAATCTTATATATATGTTTTTTTACAAATTTCATAGCAATTCGGGGAAATTGAAACCTTTACAGCTGAAGAGGAAACACGAACAGCAATTGTACAATTCAAAAATAGAAAAGATGCTGAACAGGTATTGATTTTATATGTATTCATTTATCTTATACTATTAGAGATTACTAATTAAAAATCATTATTAGGCACTTGTGAAAGGTTCCAATATTCCTGATGTTGGTCAAGTACAATTGACATGGCATACGGAAATAAGTTCTGCTACTCGTCCCGTAGATGTTACAACAACGTCAATGGCTTCTAATGCTGTTTCTGATAATGTTTCTAATGTTTCTGAAGCAGTTGCAGCTGTAACAGAGTCTCAAACAATCGATACTGAATCTGCATCAGCATCGCGTACTAATGTTACAGCAGATTTTCAAGCGGGCGATGATGAAGATGATGAACGAGAGCGTTCTTGGAAACGATAATAATTGTATACATAATATACTGTTAAGCTTTGTTTTAGAAATTTAAAAATTACGTGCGTAAATCTTTATACTATGATTATTCAAATATTCATTTCAAAAGATCTAGAGTTAGTTCGATTTATTTCTCGTTACTTTTTTTTATCTTACAGTACGATATCCTTATTATTTTTTTCTGATTTGTATATATCCGTGAATTTTGTAATTTGAAAATTTAAAATATTGCAGTTGTTATTGCGAAAGTGCTCTCTAAAAAAGTATTTATCAATATTAGTAAATTACCTTTTGTGATTAATTTTATGATATTATTAGTTTAAATTATTAATCTATACTTTTATATTAATAGATATAAAATGTAAGTTTACAAGATTAAGAATAAGAAGATCAATAGAATCTGCACCAATATCATAATTAAACCATTAGTTAAAACCATTATAAAACAATTAAGGTTACCCAAAACACATCTGGTTGTATTATAAAACTGAAACAATGTTCCCTGATACACAACGTTGTGATGTCCTAGTTCGATTGTTTGGAACTAGTAAAAAAAAACTAAGAACTTTTCAAACCGTTTTTAGTAATATTCTAGTTCGTGCAATTGTACAGATAGGTAAAGTTTGAATATTATCATGAAAGTGCTAAATCGGATTTATAAAGCAAAAATGGATCTTGCATTATTAGCGAATCAAAAGATTCAGTGCGACCATCGGCTTTTTATTTTTATTTTTATTTTTATTTATAGTATTGCCAAAATAAAAAATAGTAGAATAAGAGTATCGTCGAAGATTTTTGAGTTGTCAATCGTTTAAATCACCACGTATTTCATATTGGATTTTCTTAAGGGAAAGCTTGGCAAGCTGGGTAACCAAGTGTCGACGAACGGAGGTGCCGTACAGTCTGAGGAGAGGAGGTCTAGTGACAGCTACCACAATGTCACTAATAATGAGAGACCAAGCTCAACAAAGTTTGAAGGAAAGAAATCTGATGCTTCATATTACAATCAAAACAACAATTCAATGTCAAGTTTACATAAAAAGAAAAAAGGATTTGGAAATAAGATTGTTGAAATAAGTAAACCTACTGAGTTTGAACATG